TTTTCTAGAACATGAAATGAAATAAAGCGCCACTTGAACAGAATAGCCTCATTTTATACATTATATATTCAACAATATGTTACCTCAATGTTTTGCGAGCTCTTTCAGAAAGCTTCATTCTCGGATTGTGCTCCCAAATATCATTTCTATTTGCCAGCGTCCATGATATAAGCTCTGGCGACAACACCCTGAAGCACTCGACAAGTTCTTTCAGCTCTTCCATAGCATCAATTCTGAAATGGCATGAAAGTACATCAGCTTTGACACCAAATATGCAAAGAAAAGACATGCAACCCACTACATTTATACGTGCAGAAAAACAAAAAACATACTCCGTATATACAGTTTACAGTATTGTCTCAAAGCAAAGCTTTAAACTTCATCTTCTACATTACCTCACACTCCCAAACTCTCTCTATCTCTCGCCCTACAATCGTTCAATATAACAACCTTGTCTCTTTGCACCATGTTTATGCATATATATATTCAAACTCCATCTAAAACTAACAAATACGAATAATATTCATCAATATTTGATTTGATTAGAATTATTTACAAACATACCCGCAAACCACTAAAAAGATCAATAATATCAACATATAATCCTAAAAATAATGTAGAATGCAGATTTACAGTGTCATATTGTTACAGTGTAAACTTTTATTTCAGGGATAAAAAAATATAATGGTGTTAATTGTTTCGATCGGTTTTATCATTTTTACTGTGTCAAAATGATAAACGAGTCTAACATTCATATTTTTGTTGAACATGTTGCGCTCCTTCCAAAAGACGTCCATCATTTCAGACAAACGATGTTTGTGTCTGGATGAAATATTAATGGAGATTATGAACAGAAAGTTGTTTGAAGTTTTTCCAACTTTTTTGGCACGCAATGGCGCGTGCGCATTGGGATAAGTTCTACATTAAGAAGTACAAGCATTAGGTAATGATTTACAGTGAGTCTGTGATTTATATAAATTCATTGAGGGTTCTAATAAGTTGAGATTTGCAGTAGTTTTATGGTACTCATGGAGAGGAAGCCAAAAATTTTGGCGATTTTTAATGAAGTGGAGGACTTTCCATAGGCAAAGGAGGTTGGTGATACTTATGAGAACTTTGTGTATCTATTTAGATGTCCCTTCGACAAATTTTGAATTCATCAAAAAAGTTACCAAATTTGACATACATGTTTTTATTTTCATGTAAAATTCTTTGTAAAAGTTTAATGTCAAAAAAACTTGTCACATTTTTGGACAAATTTTAAATCCATCAAAAAGTTGCAAAATTTGACATGTATGCATCTATTTTCATTTAAATCTTTTGTAAAAGTTTCATGTAAAAAGACTTGTCAATAATGTCTAAATTAGTATCTTTTTAGTTTTGGCCTCGAGCTATAGGGGTAACATCAAATTTTTTGGCAAAATTTTAAATTCATCAAAAAAGTTGTCAAGTTTAACATGGATGTTTCTGTTTGCATGTAAAATCCTTTGTAAAAGTTTAATGTCAAAAAGACTTGTCAATAACGTCTAAATTAATATTTTTTTAGTTTTGGTCTCGAGATCAAGGAGTACCATCACATTTTTTGCCCATATTTTAAATACATCAAAAAGTTAAAAAATTTGAGATTTTCATGTAAAATCTTTTGCAAAAGTTTAATGTCAAAAACGTCTTAATTACTCTTTTTTTGAGTAAGAAACAAAAATTTTCATACTATAAATACGGTCATTCATAATAACTTTTGTAATTAGCCTCTTTGAAGTACGTTTTCAACTACGTCGTTGTAAAAAATATTGATGAGAGTTCTTCAATTTTGATGATAAAATTTTGATGAGAGTTCTCAACAATGCTCTCAAATTATTCTTAATCTAAGGCCAAATCATTTTATAACAACTCTTAACTATTCCTAGTCTAAGACAACTTTTCTAACCAGGCCCTTAAACTATAAATAGTTTAATGCAGAACACAAGAATCGATAATCCACCCTATGAGTCATGTGGATTACGTACCAACCGAACAGTAAACTGCCAGGTGGGTGATATCCGTTCTGGATCCCGTACGTACGTTTTAACCCCGAAATATGAATTGGTCAAGGAGGTATATCTTAGAGTTCTTCTAGATATCCTTAATAATCATCATCATTATACAAGTGGGTATATCTTAGAGTTCTTCTAGATATCCTTAACAATATACATCATTTTCATAATCATCACTATATCCATTTTTAATCATTATTTAATCAATAATCATACTAATCAGTAGGTTAATCATTCATAATTGGCCACAATAATAGTTCATCATAATGATCATTCAACATAACATTTAATAACAATTAGCGGCCTAGTCTCGAGTGTTAACACCCGAACTTACCGTCATGCATCACATAATGTTTTAATTTGTTAAAAACATCATTTTTGTTGTGAAAATCATTTTTATAATAATCATAATCAATTGGTATCAAAAATAGGATTTTAGAGCTCAAAAATAGCAATTTCAGACAAATTTTCGGACCAGAGTTTCGGAGGATCGATCCAGCCCTCTGGATCGATCCAACTAGAAGAAAAACTCCCAGAGGATCGATCCAATGAAGGGGATCGATCCACTCTGTGGATTTTCAGCCACTGTTCATTCGTCTTCAACCTCGGTCCATTTTTCGGGAAAACCATTTTTAGTCACCGAACTTCAATTAAACTATATAGAGATGTTCTCCAAGGTTCA